AAGAAATATTTGGATAGTTACAATAGTTATTGATTGAAAAGTTTGAAATATTTGAGGCCGAGGCAGGGGTATATTTAGAAAAAATGATAAATTTAGTTATAGAAAATAATAAGAAATAATTTTATAAACTCATGCCCCATGCCCAAACTTGACTAGAAACTGAATACAACACCCAACAAAAAAGAACCCAAACAACAGAGTTAAAAATTAGTAGCAATTTTATCGGCAAAAAATTACAAGGAGAACTAAACTTAAACGATTTTACTAGTTTAAAAAAACTTCATTGCTATAATAATAAGTTAATCAGACTCAATTTAACTAATTGTAAGCAATTAAAAGAGATTATTTGCTGAGGTAATCAACTTACTAATTTAATTTTACCCAATGATTGCTCTGGTCTTACTAAATTAGATTGTAGCAATAACCAGTTAATCAAACTTAGTTTAGCAGTTCTTAATAAAGAAACCTTGAAAGAGTTAGATATTAGCAACAATAATTTCTCCCCTTCCGTTCTCTCCATATTTACCCCTTTTACTAATTTAGAAATTCTAAAAATAGGCAACGATAATACTAAGAAAATAAAACAAAATATTTATAATCGCTTTCAAGGTAGTCTAGAGCCTTTAAGAAATCTCATTAAATTAAGAGAACTTCATATCTCCAATACCGACCTAAATGAAGTAAATATCGAGCAATTACCCCAAAGTTTAGAGAAAATTGAATACTCTACTGATAAAAGACCTGATTGTAAGTTAAAACAAATTGCTACTCAATTAAGTAAGTACCAAAAATTTTCAACTAAATATCCGGCTGCCAAAGCAGACCAAACTAAAGTCATTGACTTCTCGCCAAAGTCTAACCTAAAAAAGATAAGTCAACAATCAGTCAAGAATATTACCTTAGAAACAGAAAAACCTCAACTAAGTTATTCAACCAAAAAAAATAATGAAGAATTATTAAAAGAAATAGCAACCGCTAACAATTTAGCCAAGGAAACTTTTTGGCAACAAACTATCTCTGGTCTAGAAAAGCAAATAAATCTGCTCAGTCAAGAAGAAAATATTGAACCTGAAATTATAAACTTGGCTTGACAAAAACTAACCGCAATTAAATCAAAGGCCATTCAAGAATTAAATATCGAAAATTACCTACAAGAAATTAGTCAGTTGCAAAAAGATTTTACTAAACTTCAGACTAATTTAACTCAGTTATATGAATTACAAAAGGAGCTGGGACAATTGCAGTTAGAGAAAAAGATAGAAGTTTTGCCTAAGTAATTTTTCAACCGAAAAGTAATTTGCCGGATACAAAAGCATAAAAAACGCTATATAAGTCCCAGTTCCTTTGCAAGGAAAATAAAACTATATAAAATTATAAATATATTGCCTATGGTCAGAATGAGAGAAAATAACAAATTAGAATAACTAACTAAATCAATTACCACCTAATTTGTTTATAAGAGAGTTAATTACCATTTGTGGTGATTGTATAAATAAAAATAATTTTTTTAAAACTATAAATTAAAATTCGCAAATAAATATCTAAATCGCATGGTAAACTGACAAGCATATGGAGTTCCTTTTGAAAACTTTACGAAAAAAATAACTAAAAAATGAATAAAGCAAGGATTTGATTATGAAGAGACAGCTGAATGGATTAAGGCCGGTCTAACTCTGCACGAAGCCAAATTCGCTTACTGATTAAAAGAAGAAAGAAGTAAAGATATTGACAATTACCCAAATAAAAATTATGCTGATCCGCAATGAATAAAGGATAATGCTGAATTAGAGAAATTGAGAAAAGAATTCGCTAACCAGAATGAAGAAAGCGATGAGGAAGTTGAGTCTCCTAGTGAGGAGGAATATGAAGAAAAAATAAATGCTCAAGATTGACTAGATGAAAATTACCCCCAAGAAGAAAGAGAAAATACCAAAGAATTACACATCAGCAAAAACCTAGAAGGAGAACTAGATTTATCAGAATTTACTAATTTAAAAAAGATTTATATTTCTTATTTTGTGGATGAAGACGAGTTGGAAATAAAAGATAAAGGAAAATATGAAGATAAATTTGTTAAATTAGTAAATGCTCAGGAGTATTTGGAAAAATATTTAGAGGAGAAGTATCCTGGGAAAGAGAAAAGCGAAATAACCGGGACATTATATATTAATGATAAAAACTTGGAGGATGATTTAAAAATTGAAGGTTTTTCTAGTTTAGAAAAATTGGATTGTAATAAAAATAAACTCACTAGTTTAGAAATAATTGGCTGTCCAAGATTAAAAATGCTTCATTGTGGTTTTAATCAACTAGGTAGTTTAGACTTAACTAATTGTGAAAAGTTAGAAGAACTTAATTGTACTAACAATAAACTTGCCAGCCTGGACTTGAGTAATTTAACTAGTTTAAAAAAATTCCATTGCCAAAATAATTTTTTAACTGATATAGACTATTCAGTTCTAAACTCAGAAGAGTTGATTGAACTAAAAATAGGAAATAATAACCTCTCTGAACAAGATTTAGAAGAATTTAGCGGCTTTACTAATCTACAAGTTTTGTGGATAGGTAATAATAGCGACTATGATAACAAAATAGATGAAAACAAGTATAACCGTTTTGTTGGTAGTTTAAAGCCGTTAGAAAAATTGACCAAGTTGAGGGAGTTAGAGATTAGCAATACTGATATAGATTCAGGTTTAGAATATTTGCCTGAGAGTGTGAAAACTCTGAAATGTGAGGTTGTATCCGATGAGTTCCAAGTAAGTAGACTTAGAGAACAACTTATTCCTTACGTTAACAACTTTTCAGACTGAAAAAAAAAAAGAGAAGAATGAAAAAATAAATTGTTTGCTAGCAGGGAAATTAGTGAGTGAGCAGAAATAGGCTTGGATTTGAATAAATTAGACTTTGTTATCCACTTAAAAAAAGAAAAAGATTACACACCGGATGATTTTAGAAATGAAGAAGAAAAAGCCCAAATTTGATTAGATTGAAAATATCCTCAAGACAAAAGAAAAGACATTACAAAGTTGGACATAAGTGGTAAGAGTCTAGAAGGTTTATTAAAATTAAACGGTTTTGTTGGTTTGAAAGAACTAAATTGTTCTAATAATAAGTTGACTGGTTTAGATTTAAGTTTCTGTTCAAAGTTGTCTAGAATTCAATGTTCTTCCAATGAACTAAATGATAATAAATTTTTAGTTAATTTGCCTAATCTTCAGAACTTAATATACTTAGACATTAGTGATAATAATTTTCAGCCGCAAAATCTATCTTTTCTAGAAAAGTTAACAAATTTAGAAGAACTACGCTTAGGAACATCTAAAAAAGAAAGAGTGAGGGGGGACAAGTATAATCGCTTGACAAGTTCTTTAGAGTCTTTAAAAAGCATGAAAAAGTTAAAAATTTTAGACATTAGCAATACCGATATTGAAAATGGTCTAGACTCTTTACCCAAAAATGTAGAAGAAATTTACTGTTCTACTAAGGAAAGACCAGAAAGCAGAGTGGGCAATATAAGTAATTTGCTAAAAGAGAAAAAGTCCGATTTTGCTTTTATTGATGGTAGGTATAAAAGGCTAGTTAACGCTCAGAAATGATTGGATGACAATTATCCTGAGAATAAAAGGGGCGAAGAAACTGAACTAAACATCGGCAAAAAATTACTTGAGGGTCACTTAAGTTTAAAAGGTTTCAATAATTTAGAAAGGCTTTATTGTCACGATAATTATCTAACTGACATCAATTCACTATTATCTGAGTTAAATCCAGAAAAACTAAAATCATTAAGCCTGTATGATAACAATTTTTCAGAAAGTGATTTAGAACCTTTTAGTGAATTTGTTAATTTAGAAGTGTTGATCATCTCCGGTAACCTTTTTAGAGAGGATCATGAACAAGACATTGCTAACCGTTTTGTTGGGTCGCTTCAACCGTTGCAAAAATTAATCGGACTAAAGTGATTATACATTAACAACACAGACATTAACGAAGGTTTAGAATGTTTACCTGAAAGTTTGGAGTACTTATATTGTAGTGACCAATACCAATATTGAAATAAAAGACCAGGAGCTAAAGTAGAAGCAATCTCTGCCCAACTTCGTGATTATGGATCAGATGGTAATTATGATCTCTCGGCTTGAAAAAGAAACAAAAAGTGGCAAGACAAATTTGATAACAAAGAATTTACTCATGAGTTTAAAAAATGAAAAAAAGTTGGCTTGAAAGATAATGAAGTGGATTTTGCCGCCTATTTGGAAAATAGAGGTTGCAGCCCTTCAGACATTAATGAAAAAGATAAGAAAGAAGAAAAATTGAAAGAATATCGCCAAGCAGAAACCTGATTAAAATTTAATTACCCTACTAAAGAAAGGGAAAAAATAAAAAAGTTGAATATTGTTAGCAAAGGTTTAGAAGGCTCTTTAAACACAAGCAGTTTCAAGGATTTAACAGATTTAAATTGTTCAAAAAATAAACTAACTAGTCTAGATATTAATGATTGTTTAAATTTAAAAGTGCTTAACTGCGAGAATAATCAAATTACCAAGTTGGATTTAACTGGACTAAATGAACTAGAAAATCTTTCTTGTAATGATAACCTTATCAAAGAATTCGATGCTGCTTGCTTAAATCCAGAAAAACTTACTAATTTAAGCCTAAAAAATAATTTTTTATCGGAACAAAATATATCAGTTTTTAGTAAATTTACTAAATTAAAAGAATTGTCAATTGGCAATGACAATAAAGAGAAGATTGATGAGGGAATATATAATCGCTTTGTTGGTTCTCTAAATTCCTTAAAAGATCTAACCAAGTTAGAAAGTTTACATATTTCCAATACTGATATTAATGAAGTAGATATTGAAAAGTTGCCCAAAAGTTTGAAAGTAAATGGAACTTATTGTTCTGCCACAGAAAGGCCAGAAAATAAGGTAAAAGATATTCAGGAGAAGTTGTATAATTATCTTACTAAGAAAAGATTGAATGAAATGTATCCTGACAGGTCTGCCAAAGCACTAGACAATCTTCGTTATGAAGAACTAAAAGGCCATTTAGACTTGAGTGAGTATAGGAGTTTGGAGGAATTAAATTGCAGTAATAACCAGTTGACTAGTTTAGATATAAGTAAGAATACTAAACTCAAAAAAATTAATTGTTCTAATAATCAGTTTACAACTCTAAATCTTGAGAACTTACCTAGTTTGACTGAATTCAACTGCAGCAATAATGACAAATTAACTGAAGTGCAAGGCATTGAGGATTGCAATGAATTAGTCTCTCTGGACTCTGAAAACAATAGTTTTCCAGGTGAGACAAAAAAAATGTTAGAAAAATTAAAAAGTGCAATCGAGTTTACTGGTCAATTAAAAGGACAATGAAAAGAGAAAAAGGTTAATAGTTGATTCAATAACGAGTATCCTGAAAATAATAAGTGTCTAGGAAAGTTTGATTGAGAAAATAAGGGCAAAAAAAGAAGGGATATTAAAGAATTGGATATTAGTGGTGAAGAATTAACTGGTGAATTGAATTTAAAAGGCTTTGATTCATTAAAACACTTAATCTGTCGTGATAACCAGTTAATAAGCATTGACTTAAGTGAGTGCAAGGAATTAGAAATTATTGATTGTAGAAGAAATAAATTAAAAAAGATAAAATTTAGCGATGCTTATCCTTTGAAACTAAAAAAATTTCGTGGATCTGACAATGCATTTAAAAAGTTAAAAAGTATCATTAGCAACATAGACACTGAAAATTTAACCTACTTCGACGTTAGCAACAATGAAATTTCCGGTGGTAAGTTAAATGATTTCGCTGAATTTAAAAATTTAAAAAGTCTGTTTATTGGTAGTAATGATGGAGATAAAAGTAATAAGTTTACTGGCTCTTTAGAAGATTTAAAAGAACTAAATGAACTTCTTGAAATTGATATTCGCCGTAATGATGAAATTAAAATTGAGGATTTTCTAAAAGAACTGAAAGAAGAGACAAAAAAATCATGACTGGTTAATCTAGAAAAAGTATATTATGTAACCAAAAAAGAAAATAAAGCCAACACTGAGGGTGAGAAGGATGGAAAAAGAGGCAATTTTTCTAAAGATGGCGAGCAAAAAAATGATAATGAACGTTATTATGTTAAAGAAAATAATTTCTATGATATCAAAAATTTGCGGAGTAGCAAAATATCTGACGGTGCCGAAGTAAAAGTAATATTAAAAACTCCACTTTTATCGGAGGACAAAAAGCATAAAATAGGTGTAACTAAAGATAGTTACGAATTTAAAGAAGTAGACTACTACAATAGTGGTAAGGTAATTTACCCCTCAGAAAAAGAGACGGGGTTTAAGTGAGAAACCGGCAAGGAGTTGTCATTAAGTGATTTACCGCTTAGGCTTTGTCATATTAGTGGTAAGGCATTTGAGCTTTTCTCGATCAAAAAATATTTTGAGAAAAATGGTATAGAATCAGTTAGTTTTAAAGATAAAGTTTTGACAGTTGATTATGATGGTAAAGAAAAAAAGACATTTTCTGGTGAAGACATTAGTAAAGAATTACAGGAAATTAAAAATTATCTACAAAAAAATAGAGAAGAAACTATTAGAAAGCGAGTGCTTGATTATAACAAAGAAACAGAAATAGCAATAAAAAAAAGAGTGGAGTGTGATAGCGATGCTAAACACTATGCCATCCTGTCTTATTCATGAGGTGGTAAACATAAAGAAGAAATACCATGAAGCCCAGAAAATGCCGAAAAAAGATTAAGTCCAGGCGGAATAAAATCTCTAGACAAGGCTATTAAAACATTGAGGGTACTTAATGAATTTCATGGTTTAAGCATAAAAGGTAAAGAAATTAAACATCTCTGAATGGATCAGTTATGTGTCAATCAAGGTAATACTAAAGAGAAAGGTCATGAAGTTTCTAAGATGAGGGATTATTATGGTAATGCCACGGTAACTTTGATAGCAATACACGCTGAGGTTGGTGAGAAAAATATCAGAGACCTGTTAAAATCTTTTGACAAAGGAGAAAGTGGACTTATTTATCCTAATGAAATAATCAAAAACTCTTTACCTATTTTAGAAAAAATAATTGGCTCTGAGTGATTTTCTCGCTCCTGAACCTATCAAGAGGGATTTTTATCAAAGAGAACCATCTTTATGTTTGATGACTTTTTAATTGATGGTCGATTTATGGCTTTAATTTGAAAACTTAAGCAATTTTCCTCAATTCATTATGAAGAATGTAGATGAATGAAAGACTTATGTGGAGAAAAAGCAGCTACTCCGGTAGGATGGATATATTATGAAGGTGAGGACAAACAAGGATACAGCCTTAATGACAAAGCTTCACTTAGACTAACTGAGGCTTTGTGGGCAGTGAAAGATAGAGGTCGGGCACTTCCCATTGATGGTATTTATTCAATAATTGGTTTATTACCTTATAGCGACAAGGTAAAGGTCGATTATGAAAAGGATCCAGAGTCAGTATTGAGAGAAGTAATGTTTATTGCAGTAAATTATGAACACGGCGAACCTTTAGCTTGAAGCGGCTGAGGTAGTCGAAAGTCAGGATTGTGTTGAGTACCTGCCATAGATGAAAGTGGGTCAAGCAGTGTAACAGGGGGAATAAAAGTAGGTTATGATCTTAAGAAAGGAAAACTTAGCTTTAATCCCAATGAAGGAATAAAAATTCAAGCCTCAGAATATGTAATAAGCAAAAAAAGTAGTGGTTTGTATGAGGTAGAGATGAGAGAGGCAATGGAAGGTAGCCTTTGAATGCGGGAAGTTTGAGTAAATGTTGAAGGCAAACAGGAAAAATTAACTTTATCTGGAACTAAAGAAGGAATTGAAGCAGTAAGCGAGGGCAGAACACTTATAATTCCAAACAGAGAAACATGAAAAAGCGATAAGCCATTTGCTATATTATCTTTAAAGGCTGGAATTAATTATATTGAAAAAAAGATAAAAGAATTGGAAGAACAAATTAGAAAAAACGGAGAAATGCTTGTGATTGGAGGAAACGAAGAAAGAAAAAAAATAGAAGAATTAAAGGAATTAATAAATCAAGATAATGCTCGTCACCGCATAGATTTATTAAGAATAGAAGAAGGTTACGAAAAATTAATAATCAAGAAAACAAAAGATGGCAAGGAAATTGAAGTACCAAAAGCCGAAGAAAAAACTTTCATAATCGGCCTCGATAACCAGCAATACCAAGCCCAAATAGAAATCCCACCTAAACAATAATCCTATGCCAACAGCCCAAACATACCTCAACAATAAATACCCCCAAAATAAAGAAAAAATCAAAACAATTGACCTCAGCGGTTGAAATGAAAAAGATTGAACCGCTAAACCCAATTGGGAAAAATTAACCGGAGAGTTAAATCTCTCCGATTTTCCTAGTTTAGAATTGTTCAATTGCTCCTATAACCAAATTACTTCTCTCAATCTCACCAACTGTCCTAATTTAACTGAACTTAAATGTTGAGAAAATGAAATCACAGAAATAAAATTCCCCAACTCCCAACTAAAACTAAAGACATTTTATGCTTGAACCAATCATTTAACCAAATTAAACTGAGAAATTTTTGATCCAGAAAGTTTAACCAACATTAGCATCAGTAATAATAATTTCCAACGACAAGATATCTCCCTCTTTAACCACTTCCCTAATTTAGAAGAATTATGTCTAGGCAATGATTTAGAGGAAAGATTAACCAACAGAATTTACAATCGCTTTACTGGTTCATTAGGAGTTTTAAAAAACCTAAAAGATTTAGAAAAACTCCAAATTGAAGGAACTTATATTGATGATAATCAATTAACAGAGATACCAAAAAACTTGCAGGTAATTAGTTGAGGTAAGGAAAACATCATTAGAAGATTAGGACTAAATAAAGAAGAAACCGCCGAATTAAGAAGAACCAACCCCACTAATTTTCAAGAAGTTCTTAGTAAAATTATAGTTAACTACACTAAACTAAATAAAGAAAAAAGTAAGACAATCAAAGAATTATCTGACGCTATAAATATTAGTAGGCAATTAAAAGAAGGAGAATCAGAGGACAAACTCATCACTAATTTTCAAGACTTGGAGAAAGAACTTAAAAAATTTAGTAAGATATGAGAAGAAGTGGACAAGGAAGACAAGCAAAATAATACAGTTGCTTCTGTCGTTCCTTTGGAAAGGCTCTTTATTATCCGTGGCAATCTCAAACAATTTTTAAAAAAATGAGGTGAAGATAGCAAGGATAAAGAAGGTAAAACCGAACTTAGTAAACTCCAGTCCCCTGAACAGTTCGGTAAATTTAACTATCTGACGGGAGTAGAATATGCTTCTACTGCTACCACAGTAATAGGAGGCGCTTTAACTCTACTAGATTTCTCTACTACGGGAGGAGTAATTACCCTAACTGCTCCTTTGATCGGCACCGGGGCTTCGCAATTGAAATCCAATCTTTACGATGCCAAGCAGAGTAAATGAGAAGAGTTTAAAACCGATGCCGATAATTTTTTGGATAATTATAATGAACTATTGGGAATATTGAAAAAAATTGCAGTAGGCGAATTGGGAGAAGTAAACCAAGCCTTAAAAGATTTAAAAAATAAAGTTAATCAGTTTTTAGAAGAATACGACGATGATGGTAATGAAGAAATCGATGTTGAGGAACTAATCAATGAACGAAAGAAGTTCGCTGAAGAATTAAATAAAGTAGAGGCAATTGTGCAAGATATGCAAGAATTAGAAGAAAAAGTACTTAGTTATCGGCAAGGTTCTGCTGGCAGGAAAAAACTTGAAGAGGAAAAAAGGATAAAGTCAGAGATTGAAAAATTATCTAAGGAGTTAGTAGGGGAACAAAAGTCCAGTGAATTTAAGAATAAGATTAAAGAAAAATTACCAAAAAAGGAAATTAGAGAAATTATCCCTCTTATCTCCTTAGGAGAAAAGCAACAATTTTTAGTTATTAGTCAAAATAGGAAAAATCTGCTTGCTTTTTTTAATTCTAATGAAAAGCAATATTCGTTGGACTTAGTTGAGTATAAGGAGGCTACTAAAGAGGCTAAAATGAAAAAGAGTAAAGATTTTCCGCAATGGTTTGTTTCAGAAGAAGAGGCTAAAAATAAGGTGCGAGAAATTGAATTAGATAGAAAGGCCATCAAAATTTTGAAAGAATTAAGAAAAAGCAAAGAAAAAGAAGGGACTAGTGATAAAATGGAAGAAGAAAATTTAATTGATAAAATTAAGGCCAAGTTAAGAGAAGAAGGGAAATTAGAGAATAATAAGACAATTTTATCTCATTCAACTTCTCCCAGAACCTCCTACCAAAAAAATAACCACAAGTCTCCAATACTGATGAACCGACTTTAAAACGAAAATGTGTACTCCCATTCAGAACTGAGATTGCTGAGAATGTTGTAAGCAAAAAGATAAACAAACAACCGAAGAAATTGAATCAAAAAAAAATTTAGAAACGCAAGGAGAAAACTCCAAAAAAGTTTCCTTAATCGAGCAAGAAACTTCTCTCCAAGCCCAAATAGAAATCAATCAAAAATAATATGACTAAAAAAATATTCTTAGGCGGAACAGCCAATAATTCAATATGACGGGAACAATTAATTCCCTTACTAGACTCTAATAAAATTTCTTACTTTAATCCGGTAGTAGAAGAGTGAAATGAGGAAGCCCAAAAAAGGGAAGAAAAAGAAAAAGTAACTTCTGACTTTCGCTTATACACCATCACTAAAGAAATGTTAGGCTTCTATTCTATCGCGGAAGTAGTAGAAGATAGCAATAAAAGACCTGAAAAGACTATTTTTTGCTATTTAGAAGAAGGTTTTGGCAAACATCAGGTCAAGTCTTTACAAGCCACTGCCAGGTTAGTAAAAGCTAACGGAAGCCAAGTGTTTACTAGTTTAGAGGAAGTGGCTGAGTATTTGAATAGTGAGCAAGTGGCACAGGTGGAAGTTTCAAGAAAGTGTCCTCCTTGTCAGATAATTTAAATTTTTCTTATTTAACATAACATCTTAAACAATAATCAAACTAAATATGGTAAATGCCCAAATATGGCTAGAAAGCCAAAGAAAATATGATACTAAAGAGAAACGAGAACAAGTTACTGAATTAGATATTAGTAACAAAAATTTAGAGGGAGAGTTAGATTTAAGTGATTTTATTAACTTAGAAGTATTAATTTGTAATAGCAATAACTTAACTTCTTTAAATGTCAGCAAACAAACTAAATTAGAAAGTTTAACTATTTCTAAAAATAGTTTTCCATCACAAAATCCAACTTGGCTTAGTCACCTAGCTAATTTAAAGGAACTTTATCTAAGGCAAAATAATTTTAGTGGCTCTTTGGAATTTATCCAAAATATGACTAATTTAGAAGTGCTTGATATTGGTAATACTAATATAGAGTACAATTTAAAGTATTTACCACCTAACTTAAAATGAATTAGCCGTAATGAAAAGATAAAGGAAGAGTTAATCCTTTGCGGAAATAATTTGGCTGTTTGGCGAGACTCTCGCCCGGGATTAGTGGAAAAGGCAGCCAGTAATGATTCCGAAAATTCCTTAGAAATAATAGCCGCTACTCCGGAATATTTAAAAAGCGAGTTAAATAAAGAAATCTTCCCAGCAGATTATAATCTGACCGATTTAAACTACTCTAACTTTACTTTCCGCGACCCCCGGCCATTTGGTTGAGAAAAATCATTTGAATTCCAATCCACAACCACGAAACAATTACCTCTCCGTCTTTACAACCTAAAAGATAAGAAAGTAGAAGAAACAAAAAATAGAAGTGATCTGCAAGATTATGCTATTCTCTCTTATGTTTGAGGAACCGATTGGGAGAATAAAAGTGAGTTGACTGTACTAAAAAGTGATGGTCAATCTTATCAAGTAAAATTGACTAAATTAGGCCGCAAAGCTGTACAGAAAGCTACCCAAACTTTAGGTCTGATTAATCAAAACCAAGCCAATCTGCATCACATTTGAATCGATAATTATTGTATTAATCAAGGAGATTCTCAAGAAAAGGGTCAAGAAGTTAAAAAGCAAAAGATCTATTATAATAATTCTATAGTGACTTTAATCGCTGTCAATGCCAAAATTGATGCAAAAGTAGATAAAGAAAATAAGTTTCAATTTGCTAAACATATTATCGAAAAAATAGTTAATTCAAGTTGGTTCACTCGTTCCTGGACCTTTCAGGAGGGATTACTTTCTAAGCAAACTATCTTCATGTTTGACGATGGTTTAGTGGATGGACGGATATTGGCTAATATTTGAGGAGGCACTCAGCAAAAAAGTTCTTGAGATAATTCGTGGATCCAGTTAAACAATAAAATATTTGTCACCCCTCTCGGCTGAGGCTATGATGCACAAAGAGAAAAAAATATTAATCTCGGACTAAGCCAGGCTCTCGATGCCATTAAACATCGCAAGCAAACAGTGGCCCTAGACGGCATTTACTCTATCTTAGGTCTGCTACCCTATGGTTATAAAATAAAAGTTAAGTATAAAGAAATGGACTATAAATATACTGAGGAAGAATTGGAGGAGGCTCTGCTAGATATGATGAAAGTGGCTATTCAAGAAGGATTTCCTAATGAGCCTTTGATTTGAATAGGAGAACGTCGCAATGAACTAGAATTATGATGAATACCAAGAATACAAACAGATGGTACTACTAGTGTAGAAGGATGTGGTGAAGTGGCAGCCCAGTTCGAAGATTTAAAGATAACTTCTCAGGGATTGGAATTTACCGGCAAAAGGGAAAAATGAGATTGAAATAAGCAATACATTACACTAACTGCTGATTATAAAAAAACAGTAAAAAGTGATAAAAAATTTTATATTTTAGTGCCTACTGAGGAAAATAAACATTTGCCCATTAAAATTACTTACTCTGATAACCCGATAACTACTTTCCAGGATGAATCCAAAATATTTATTGATATGGTTAATAAGAAATTAATTGAGGGAGAAAAAGCCATTCAGAAATACAAAGCACAAATAGAAATCCCTCCTAAAACTGGGCAGAATTAGGCTAAGCAAAGATTATTAAATACAAAAATATGAAAGATAGAATGAAAAAACTAAGTGGAGGGAAGAAAAAAACTCTTAAAAGCAGCCCCAATTCTCTAATTCTAATCAAAACCAACCAAACCGAAAAAGTAAAAAAAATTTTAGAAAAAGAAAAGGTTGATTATGAAATTTACAGTTCGGAAGTCAATTTAAAAGCCAAGACTTCCCCCAGAAGTAAGAGTGTTAAAGAATTAATAAATTCTCTCGACCGAGCCCGCATAAAGTATTTAGTAATCAATAAATAATTAGGTGTATTTTTGAGACGAAAAAAAGCAAAAATTAGTAAAAAATTGTCCTAGTTGTAAGTCAACATTTATCCCCAATCAAGGAGCCAACTGTCCTTTTACTTGCTCGGCTCGAAAATTAGGAAGCCAACATAAGGAAATAGCAAAAAAAATGATTTCTTATTGCTTCCCTAGAAAAAGGGTAAAAGTTATTTTTCCTACTAACACCCCTCTTTTATCGAACAACTGAAAATGAGGTTGGACCGACGACATTAAACAAATAATTTATATTCCTTGGTATACTTTAAGAAGTAAAAAAGAGTTCTTTGAGACTAAACCCGCACGAAGTCGGACATATTACCGCTTTTGAGAAAAAGTTTAATTTAACTGAGAGAAAAATAATTAAGAAAATGTATGATTTGCGAGATAAGTATGAAGTTTTTTTAATTGAGGAATACAAATTATTTAATTACTATGAAAAGCATCAGAAAATAATCGATGAATATCAGAAATGAGAAGGACATGATTATAATCCTTGATATCTAGAATATTTAGCATTTCATAAAAAGTTAATTAATTCTCCTTTTAAGAAATATGCTTATGGTAGAGTTGAACCTAATCAATATGGATTTAATGAAAGGGGGGGAGGGAAATATAAACCTCGAGGAAGAAAATTATCTGAATCAGGCAATCAGTAAAAATTGGCTTTGCACTTTAACTGCAATAATTATTTCTGACTAGTATTGATTTCAACTTGATTTTGCTGCAAACTGTTTAATTGCTCTTTTAAGTGGGTATTTTCTTGTTCTAATTCTTTTATTTTATTTTCTCGTGCTTGCTGGTATTCTACACTTTTATCCTGAAACT